GCCTGTAGCGTTTAAATACGTGGGCTGGGAGGGGGCCACCTACGCTGTGGCTGTAGGGTCTCTGTGTGCTCTGTCCACCAGGTAAGCTGACCCTACACTACTTCCCTGACAGGGTGAATGTGTTGGCGCTTCACCCAACTCTTCCATTATGTTCCTGGTCTTTAAGAGGAGTTGAATGAAACACCAACACATTTTGCAACAAGGTTACATTTTTAAGGCGAGATTAATGGGGCTATACCTTAGATTATTTGATTCTGATTGTTTTTACTGTTCCAGATGATAATGATGATTAAATAATACTTTGTGTGAATAATACATTAAGTACACAAAGGAAAGCGTAATCTTGTGTTGCGTTCACCCTTGGCCAGCAGCTTTCCTCTGTGTGTGTTTAACGGTGTGAATCTCCCTGTGTGGCACGGCACGGCTCTCCTCTCTCCCTGCTAGCCTGCTAGGCTCCATGTTCCCCATGCCTCGCGTTATCTGGGCCATGGCTCAGGACGGCCTCCTCTTCAAGAGTCTGGCCCAGATCAGCGACCGAACCAAAACCCCTCTAATCGCTACAGTAACCTCTGGAATGGTGGCAGGTGAGCCTAGAACCCTTTCTAACCAGTTAAACTACTAACAGGGCTGCTAACCTCTCCCCCCCCTCCCCCCCTCCCCCCCTCCCTTCCTACAGGAACCAACCAATGCCAGCGCTGTTTCCCTGGTTACCTCGACATGCTACTGTTCACAGTGCACCTGCTTAGAAGGCCTGACCAAACCTAGATAACCCGTGGATAGACCAGGGGTATTCAAATCCTACCCTGGTTGGGTACGGAGTACTACTGATTTCCTTTTATACCTGATCATTAATTGCACCCATCTGGTGTCCCACGTCTAAACGAGTCCCTAATTAAAGGGGAAGAATGAAAAGCCGCAGTGGACCTGGCTTGGAGGTTCAGATCTATAGGATAGACACTCTCACCTTGTCTGTTCTACATGTTTAATACCAGCAGACAGATGCTAAGGTTCTACGTGCCTGGAAGGTGTACTGGGAACTGCAGCAGTTGAAACCATGTGTCTGGACTTCATGGAGAGACTTGGGAGTATTTTTGGGTTATAAATCTTTGCCCCCTTCCTTCTCCTCCACCTCTCTCCACTCCCGGCCTCTCCTCCTCTCCCCTTCTCCCTCTCCTCCACCCCTGGCCTCTCCTCCTCTCCCCTCCTCCCTCTCCTCCACCCCTGACCTCTCCCCCTCTCCTCCACCCCTGGCCTCTCCTCCTCTCCTCCACCCCTGGCCTCTCCTCCTCTCCTCCACCCCTGACCTCTCCTCCTCTCCCCCCTCCTCCCTCTCCTCCTCCCCCCTCCTCCCTCTCCTCCACCCCTGACCTCTCCTCCTCTCCTCCTCTTCCCCTCCCCTCCTATAGCCTTCTAGGCTCCATGTTTCCTCTACCTCGTATAATCTTTGCCATGGCCCGCGATGGTCTCCTCTTCTCCTTTCTGGCGAAGGTCAGTGAGAGGAAGTCGCCCATCAACTCCACCATTGCATCAGGTTTCATGTCCGGTAAGACTGTGTTAGAGGTCAGGGGTTATAGGTCAGGGGTTAAGCTCAGAGCTGATCTGTAGCTGGCGGTAACAAGCCTATGTCCACCTGAGGAGGAGAGAGGGGTGAGGCAGACAGAGGCTTTAGGTTAAAGGAACCTGAGGAGGAGAGAGGGGTGAGGCAGACAGAGGCTTCAGGTTGAGGCCACCTGAGGAGGAGAGAGGGGTGTGGCAGACAGAGGCTTCAGGTTAAAGGAACCTGAGGAGGAGAGAGGGGTGTGGCAGACAGAGGCTTTAGGTTAAAGGAACCTGAGGAGGAGAGAGGGGTGTGGCAGACAGAGGCTTTAGGTTAAAGGAACCTGAGGAGGAGAGAGGGGTGAGGCAGACAGAGGCTTCAGGTTAAAGGAACCTGAGGAGGAGAGAGGGGTGAGGCAGACAGAGGCTTCAGGTTAAAGGAACCTGAGGAGGAGAGAGGGGTGTGGGCAGACAGAGGCTTAGGTTAAAGGAACCTGAGGAGGAGAGAGGGGTGTGGCAGACAGAGGCTTTAGGTTAAAGGAACCTGAGGAGAGAGGGGTGTGGCAGACAGAGGCTTCAGGTTAAAGGAACCTGAGGAGGAGAGAGGGGTGAGGCAGACAGAGGCTTCAGGTTAAAGGAACCTGAGGAGGAGAGAGGGGTGTGGCAGACAGAGGCTTTAGGTTAAAGGAACCTGAGGAGGAGAGAGGGGTGAGGCAGACAGAGGCTTTAGGTTAAAGGAACCTGAGGAGGAGAGAGGGGTGAGGCAGACAGAGGCTTTAGGTTGAGGCCACCTGAGGAGGAGAGAGGGGTGAGGCAGACAGGGGCTTTAGGTTGAGGCCACCTGAGGAGGAGAGAGGGGTGAGGCAGACAGAGGCTTTAGGTTAAAGGAACCTGAGGAGGAGAGAGGGGTGAGGCAGACAGAGGCTTTAGGTTAAAGGAACCTGAGGAGGAGAGAGGGGTGAGGCAGACAGAGGCTTCAGGTTGAGGCCACCTGAGGAGGAGAGAGGGGTGTGGCAGACAGAGGCTTTAGGTTAAAGGAACCTGAGGAGGAGAGAGGGGTGTGGCAGACAGAGGCTTTAGGTTAAAGGAACCTGAGGAGGAGAGAGGGGTGTGGCAGACAGAGGCTTCAGGTTGAGGCCACCTGAGGAGGAGAGAGGGGTGAGGCAGACAGAGACTTCAGGTTGAAGCCACCTGAGGAGAGAGGGGTGTGGCAGACAGAGGACTTCAGGTTGAAGCCACCTGAGGAGAGAGGGGTGTGGCAGACAGAGGCTTCAGGTTGAAGCCACCTGAGGAGAGAGGGGTGTGGCAGACAGAGACTTCAGGTTGAAGCCACCTGAGGAGAGAGGGGTGTGGCAGACAGAGGACTTCAGGTTGAGGCCACCTGAGGAGAGAGGGGGTGTGGCAGACAGAGACTTCAGGGTTGAAGCCACCTGAGGAGAGAGGGGTGTGGCGACAGGGCTTCAGTTGAGGCCACCTGAGGAGAGAGGGGGTGGGGCAGACAGAGACTTCAGGTTGAGGCCACCTGAGGAGGAGAGAGGGGTGTGGCAGACAGAGACTTCAGGTTGAGCCACCTGAGGAGGAGAGGGGTGTGGCAGACAGGCTTCAGGTTGAAGCCTTGAGAGAGAGAGGGTGTGAGACAGAGGCTTCAGGTTTGAAGCCACCTGAGGAGAAAGTCTGTGGCAGACAAGACTAGTTGAGCCACATGAGAGAGAGGGGTGTGGCGACGAGCTTCAGGTTGGGCCACCTGAGAGTGAAGATGGTGTGTCAGACAGAGACTTCAGTGAGGCCACCTGAGGACGGAGGGGTTGTGGCCTACAAACTCAGGTTAGGCCACTGAAGGATGGATTTGGGGTGAGTCAGCGAGGTTTATAAACGGAACCTTGAGGAGAGAAGGGGTTTTGCTGACAACAACTCAGAATTAGGGACACTGAGGAGGAGAGGGTGGGCAGAAAGACTTGAGCGTTGCTAGAACTATGACAGAACTGCAGTGTTAAAAATGAAAAGTAAAATGAAATGATGATTCATTATTGTCTGTATGTGAATTGAAGTGGCTTGTGAAAGTATTCACCCCCCTTGGCATTTTTCCTATTTTGTTGCCTTACAACCTGGAATGAAAATGGATTTTTTGTGGGGTTTGTATCATTTGATTTACACAACATGCCTACCACTTTGACGATGCAAAATATGTTTTATTGTGAAACAAACAAGAAATAAGACAAAAAAAACAGAAAACTTGAGCGTGCATAACTATTCTGACCAGTCCCTGCCGATGAAAAACATCCCCACAGCATGATGCTGCCACCACCATGCTTCACTGTGGGGATGGTGTTCTCGGGGTGATGAGAGGTGTTGGGTTTGCGCCAGACATAGCCTTTTCCTTGATGGCCAAAAAGCTCAATTTTAGTCTCATCTGACCAGAGTACCTTCTTTCATATGTTTGGGGAGTCTCCCACATGCCTTTTGGCAAACACCAAACGTGTTTGCTTATTTCTTTCTTTAAGCAATGGCTTTTTTTCTGGCCACTCTTCCGTAAAGCCCAGCTCTGTGGAGTGTACGGCTTAAAGTGGTCCTATGGACAGATGCTCCTGTCACGATCGTTGAAAGGAGTGGACCAATGAGCAGCGTGGAATGCGAACATCTTTTATTATTTAATTCACCACACGAACAAAACAACAAAACGAAACGTGAAGTCCTCGGTTACAAACACAAACCTACACGGAACAAGATCCCACGAATGGTCCTCTGTAGCTCAGCTGGTAGAGCACGGCGCTTGTAACGCCAAGGTAGTGGGTTCGATCCCCGGGACCACCCATACACAAAAATGTATGCACGCATGACTGTAAGTCGCTTTGGATAAAAGCGTCTGCTAAATGGCATATTATTATTATTATTATTAATAACAAGTGAACACAAGGCTGCCAAATATGGTTCCCAATCAGAGACAACAAGCAACAGCTGATTCTCGTTGCCTCTGATTGAGAACCACCCCGGCCAACACAGAAACACATGAACTAGATACTGAAACAATCAACACAAAACATAGACTCTACACACCCTGGCTCAACATAAAAGAGTCCCTAGAGCCAGGGCGTGACAACTCCAATCTCCGCTGTGGAGCTTTGCAGCTCCTTCAGGGTTATCTTTTGTCTCTTTGTTGCCTCTCTGATTAATGCCCTCCTTGCCTGGTCCGTGAGTTTTGGTGGGCGGTCATCTCTTGGCAGGTTTGTTGTGGTGCCATATTCTTTCCATTTTTTTTATAATGGATTTAATGGTGCTCCGTGGGATGTTCAAAGTTTCAGATATTTTTTTATAACCCAACCCTGATCTGTACTTCTCCACAACTTTGTCCCTGACCTGTTTGGAGAGCTCCTTGGTCTTCATGGTGCCGCTTGCTTGGTGGTGCCCCTTGCTTAGTGGTGTTGCAGACTCTGGGGCCTTTCAGAACAGGTGTATATATACTGAGA